ATATGATCTTTATAGAATATTCTTGATTCGGGCCCAAATATACTTTTACCCCTCATTTCTTATTCGTTTAGCTTAGTATTTCATCGTTCTTCGACATATTTCACGCTAGGTAGTGTTTGTTTTTATACATTTCAGGTCCTAGCACTTGTGGAAGGTTCGAGGTCGAATTTTGGGATAATTGGAGGTCAAAAAGTGCAAAAACCGAAGAAAAGTCCAAAGACCGTGACAATTTCCTCGTAACAGTGAAGTGAAGGCGACAAGGCGTCCCAGGAAACAGGCGCATTTCACGAACGGACGAGGCAGTTCACGCTCTCCTAAGACCGTGAACTTCGACCACAAACCGTGAACACCGAGGCGTCTAGCGAGGTTCCTGAAGTTACTGACGACAAGCCAGTTCACAGTCTCTAACGTGAACTGTGGCCATTGACCGTGGACCCAGGAAGCAAGGCGGTGCGTTTTGGAGACGACTGAGTTCACATACGCGTTTAGGTGTTCACGATCGTGAACTGGCTAACGCGTCCATGAACTGATTGCTTTTGGGCAAATATGAAGACAACAATGGGGAGAGAGAAAGGGGAGCTGGTTTTTGGAGAAGAATTGGTTTTCTTTCTCTAGGGTTTGCCCAAAAACACCAAAAGGGGAGTTCTAGTGAGAGAAGAGAGTGCTAGAGTGATCTTGGAGAATCATTGGAGGCTTGGGTGAACAAGGATTCAAGTCTAGAAGAAGAAGAAGATCTTGAGCTCAAATTTGTAATCCCTCTCTCTCTCTCTCTCTAGAAACTCACTCTTTTCTCTTGGGTGTTGTAGATCCCTAACTAATACTTTTTAATTACTTGTTTAGATTGAATGATTGTCATTAGGTATTGTTTAATTCAATGATTGAGGTATTATTCATGTTGATTGTGCATGCTTGTGCTTAGCAATCTAAGGGTTGTGCATGTTTTGTGCTTAACATCCTTAGGTTTGTGCATGTTGGTGCTTTGCAATCTAATTAGCCACTTTAACTTAGTTACAGAGGAAAATACCCCTTTCAAGGGAGACTCAATCGAGTTGGTTTTCCTTTAGCTTTTTAAGTCACCTAACTAGGTTAATCTAGGGCAAAGCTCAATGTTGAATTAAGCAAATTGGTTAAGCGTGATTAAGCCGTCCAACCCTTGAGTTGAGTGAGGGAGTAAGTCACCATCGATTGCCTAAATCAAGAGGGCCGAGTGACACGACCTATAATGTCTACCTCGATTTAGCAATCGATATTGTGGTCTACGACAATATTTGCATCCCTCTGAGGTTCGCGGTTACCTTGCCCATAACAATCGTCCAATCCAACGAGTCTTGGTAGTTAGTTAGGGGGAAGCAACTCCTGGGTGAAGCTCCCTTAGTTAGAATTTTCCTTTATTTACATTCCCTTACTAGTTTAGTTTGTAGTTTTCTTAGTTTTAAAACCCAAAACCGTTTTGCTACAAACAACTTAAGCGATTGAAGTAGGGGTACATGGACTGGCCCGAGTCGATATTTAAATACTTGCTCTATACTGCACACGGCTAGAGTTTAAAAACTTGGACTCTAGTCGGGATTAATTTGTAGGGTAGTTTCGTGCGAGTCAATTCTTCGAACTGTCGTTTGATTGTCATGGTGGGTGCTTTTCATTTCTGTGTGTACTGTTATTCCAATGCGAAATTGCTAATGGAATCTGATTTGGCCGGAAAGCCTAGTGATGTGGGTTCGTTGATGGTGATGCGGTGATCTGATGTGGATGCGGTTGCTGCTTTGATGATTTAGGTTTTGAGGTAGGGTTTTTGTATAAGCTACTTATTGTTGGATCTTGGCAACTTGTTTGTGATTGTTTCTTTCCTTTGCGAATTGTTTCTTTCCTTGGGCTTGGCTAGAGGTGTTCAAATGGATTGGTTACGTGGTAATCATTTTTACTGCTAATATTCTTATAATTTGGTTTGGTTGATTTGAATAGTTGGTTACATTTAGTTTGGTTAAACTTTTTAGCTAGTTTGGTTTAGGTGGTTTGTTTTGGTTTCAGATACTACTAACCAATCAAACCAATTAGCTATATAATATATCATATAACATATACTTCATACTTCATACTTTACATAACCATTCAAAAGTCAAGCGTTCCTCTCTTTTGGATGCATAAAAAACAAAGCTCATAATTGTTCTTATTTTATGTGTTCTAATAAAGTGTAGATAACAATATATGAGCTCCTAATTTAGTTAAAAATCAGACATTATGTTTGATGAAAAACTGAAAGAGAAGAGTTCTTTAGTATTGCTAAGAGACTAAAATAATTCACACATAAAGGCAATTCATAACCCACCAACATTGACACGGTGGCGGATCCAGGGGGTGGCCTCCCCGGGTCACGGCCCAGCCCTCTTCTGGATCCGGATCTAGTATAGTCCTTATTAGTTTATCGATTTTATCCATTCGGCCTAGTGTAATTTTATAATAAGATGGTGTGTAATTGAGAAAATGGGTTAGATCGACATATTCAAATCAAAACTCTAAATTTAACCTAGAAATTCTAGCTCCAAGGATTCTCGTCTAAAGAAAAACAAACAATGTAACCTAAAAATCTAAAAGTCTAAAATGTAAAAGACTGAAAGAGCAATGAGGTTTGTTCTCTTGAAAAATTACTAGAGCAACTGGTGGAAATAAGGATGAACACACAATACAAATTGATAGTCAATTGATATTGCCCATTTCAACAATTACTATTGATAAAACTTTTCTCCAACAATGAAACAGGTGAAATATGATTTGCGCAAAAAAATGAGTGATGAATTTCTCGCTAATTAGTTAACTATTTTATTTGAAAGAGAATAGTATGCTATTAGTATGGATGTAGACTCCATTATTGATAGATTCGCTATGTTAAAAGATCGATGTGTACAATTGACATTGTAAAAAAAACTATGATTTTTTTACGATACCTTATTTTCTAATAAAATGCAGCCCAGTGCTCTACTATGTCCTGGATCCGCCTTTGCATTGACATATAGTTTTGTTAGGTGGCTACTTCTAATGATTTAAGATAATTATATTAGTTGCATGTTCTTATGCTAAAGGTTAAATATGATATAATTTTTATATTTTATTTATTATATATATTATGAATCAATGCATTAAGAGAATTTTTTTGTCATGTCATGTCATGATAATGTTATGTTGTATTAGTTGACACGATTAACCAATTCATCAAATTGATTAAACTTTTACTTGGTTAATTTGATTGTTGTATTAATTTGGATAGTTTGGTTATGGTATTGTATTCCATGTTTAATAGAATTTAGAGTTAATTGGTTTGATAATTATCATTGTAAAATTTAATGAAACTCAATTATTAAAAATTACAATGTTTGGTTTGCATAAATTATGACATTGAGGAATGTTTGTATAAAATGCAACCAAAGAAACCATGAATTTTGAGATACCATGAATTGTGAAAATTAGTGGGTAGATTACGACCCATTATTGTATTTGTCTAATTGCATGCAATCTCAAATCTCAACCTATTTACGTCCAAGCAATTGTTGACCTAGTTTGACCATGTTTTAACTTTTGCAAAAATAACTTTTAGATGTAGTTTTTATAGAAGTACTTTCTAATATCAGATATCATGCAAAATTACTAAAAATGATTTTAATATTAAATATTAATATAAAAACAAAATTAGTCTTTTTTTATACCAAAGATAGCTTGCATTACCAAGAATAATAGAGATACAACGTTTTAGGTCTCCGAACGGAGCCATGCGCAAAAATCAAAACTGCTCAGAATAAAGAGAGGGTCTTTCTAGCCACTAAATGGGCTACCCTATTGTACTGTCTACCTACAAAATGCACCGAGTAATCTGGATGTTCACAAAGTATCATCTTAACCTCCTGCAAGATAGCCCCCCAAGTACATCGATCATCACCCTGCGTTGAGTTTATCAATGATCCCTTTCGCATCACCCGCCAGCCGCATCGATGAAAACCCTGCACCGGAACACCACCTAATAAATTCTCTTAAAATCACCAATTCCACCATCGCTGGATCCTGGACCCCGAGGAGCCACTCCCCGCATGCTTTAATCACGTGACCTGAAACATCACATATAACCATCCCTACCGATGACCGCTCCCCCGCACGAATCGCTACATCAAAATAGCAAGTGACCACCGCCGGTAGCATCGAACTCCCCACACCTTGACTGGTGGGAACTCGGAATACCTCGAGCAATTGTTCCAAATGAATCTTTTTTAATTTATTTTATATCACATAATATTATTTTATACCTCATTTCGCTACAAATTAGGACTTGTACTTTTATGTTATAAAATCCACTTTTCAGTTTTTTTCAGAGGTGGACTTATATAGGTCTCCGGCATGACTTTAACTCTATAGTAAATGTTGCATTTTGTTTAATTGAAAGGAAAATATCTCTGTCACGTTAGGTGACAGAACACCTAAAACTAGTTCATTTACATCATTTTGTGATTATTCACGTCATTTTGTGACTATTCACGTAATAATATGGTGATTTACGTAAGAGTGTAAGTTTTTCACGTAAATGGAAATTCATACTTTTTTCCTCTAATAATTTATCTTGACTATATTTTATGGAATTAAATTTGGATTATCATTTAATCTATATAAATATGTTGCATTGATCATAATCTACACAATGACATCCATTTTGATATATTTCAAAGTTTAAAATTTTATTTTACAACTGCATGAATAATTAACAATATGCGTGAATAAACATAAGGTGGCGTGATCTAACAGTATTGATTACGTGAATAATCAACACTCTTACGTGAATAATACAAATATGACGTGAATGACACAAGTATGACATGAACAACACAAATATGATGTGAATAACTCAAAATTAGGTGTTTTGTCACCTAATGTGACAAGAGACTTCACTCTTTGATTGAAAATGCTCCAAATGCACCAACTAAACAACTTGCATGCGCAGGAGGAATAGGCATATATATTAGCTAGCTACAGATCATGAACTACAATTCCTTTAGAGTTTAGATTCATTACATATTGCTTACTACTGCTACTACTATACTCCTCCTTCTCTCTCTCTTTTTTTCCTTTGCTTGTTTGTTACATATATATGGTTGCTTCGAATTACTGAAACTAAATTCATCTAGACTTCGTTTAGTGAAACGACCGATGACATATTCAACTAAGAAAGAGGAGCCCTGTGAGGAGCACCCTTCCTCCTGCTGCCGAAGGAGAGAGCACTGATCCCAGCTTGCAGGAACCCAGATGGGCCCTCCTTCTTCTTCTTCTTCTTCTTCTTGCTCATCTGATCGGATGTGGAGGCGGTAGTACTGCTGCTGCTGACGAATAATTGGTCGTCAGTGATCTCAGAGGAGCCGTCCATCCTCAAATCCTCGAACTGCGAGAACGCCATATCCTCCGACCCAGCAGCAGCCTCCTCGTCGTCGTCTACAACTGCTTGATTCATTGTTCCACCACCAACAGTACCGCCGCTCGTCACCAGGATGCTGCCCAGCTGCTCCCCTTCCTCCACCATGTGATTCACCTTGCAGAAGAGGGAGCAGAAATGGAAATGGTGCTGAAGCATTCTGTGGCAAGCGAAGCAGGTGTTGTGTGCAGTGGCGGCCTTCCCCACACTCCTCGACCGTGCTCTCTCGCTCACGAATATCACCTTGGCGCTGTTTATCGTATACGACTGCCCCCCCAAAACCCACACCCACAGAAACCCATTCAAAATTGGTTTTCCCCTGTCAATGGAGCTTAATTCACTGCTGCATTGGTATTTAAGAATCCAACTAAATGGAGTAGTGGTGTGCGCTCACCTGAATGTAGGAGCAGTCAATGAGCTTCTCAAGATCCCCTACTCGAACCACATCATGGTATACGTATCTCCTCACCTGGGAATTCATTCATTGTCAAAAAAACACATCATCATTCATAGCTCTATATGAATTTCTCCTAGCTTGTTGACTTGACTGACGAAAAGAGTTGTTAGGCAAGAAACAAGCAGAGGAAGGAAGGGAAATAAATGAAGTGAGGCAGAGAATGAAGTACGGAACTGGAGGGTTTTGGGAAATATATATATATAATCAATCAATGAGACAAAGGCCCCAGCCAGCCAGTCTCCCAACAGGCAAAATGACAATATATGTAAAAGGAAAATGGTGGTCAAACTTTCGCTTTCCATGATAGCAACAGGAGATGATGAGAGGGAAGACGAGGGGAAATCAATAATCCGCCTTTCTTCCCGATTCCGAAAAATGAGAATCAATACAAGAGCGACATCTCTTCTCTTCCCCTATCCAACCCTTTTTTAGAACACTACTTACCCACCACCACACACCAACATCAGGAAATAGGTACGATATTTTTATAATAGTGTTTTCAGAGAAACAAAAACGAAAAATGGAAAAAATTGCCAAATTTTCAATGTTTTGTTGTTGTTGTTGTTGCATTTATGACTTCACAGAAGAGAGAGACAAGCAGTGAGGGAGAGGGACGAACAACGACAAGAACAGTTCTTTTTTGGATGAAAATTAGCCGACTCCTATCAAGAAAATAAACTTGTACAATTAGAGTAACAAGTTATAATTATTATCGTAACATTTTATTTATGTAAGGAAGTGGTTAAGCACCATACACGGGCCTGTATAAAATCCAGCATAACCTTCTCCCAACAACTCGAGTTATTGGGACCAACTGGTTTATGACATGGTATCAGAGCTGTGATCTGATCCAGCTTGTCGTTGCATCATGGCTGGCGAAGAATCTGGTCTCGAGACACCGCCAACGTCGAAATCGACTAGTTCTGGCTCTGGAGATAAAGAGATCGATCTGCACAGCCCCTACTTCATTCATCAGTCTGATAGTACAGGCCATCTGCACGTCAGCAGCTTGCTGACCCCATCCAACTATAGCGAATGGGTTCTTGAGATGCGGGACGCCTTGGTCACCAAAAACAAATTGGGATTTGTTGATGGGACGGTTCCTTGTCCGCCCACCGACTCCTCCCTGTTCCGAGCTTGGACGCGCTGCGATGCCCTCGTAAAGGGCTGGCTTCGGACAGCTATGGATTCCGAGCTCCGCACTAGTGTTATGCATGCAAAGTCGGCGGGGGAGATATGGCAAGATCTTCAAGATCGCTTCAGCAAAGGGAATTTGACGAGGGCCTATGAGCTTCGTCGCCATGTGAGTCTCCTCCAGCAAGAGAAACAGTCTGTTTCTAGCTTTTACACCAATCTTCGGCAGATATGGGAGGAAACCCAGTCCATATTGCCGCCGCCGATCTGCCCCTGTGGGCGCCGTAGCCGCGACCAAAACGAGAGTCTGAGACTGCTCGATTTCCTCTTGGGACTTGACGACTCGTTCGCTACGGTTCGGAGTCATATTCTCTCTATGACTACCACGCCCTCGTTACCAGAGGCATTCCGCATTGTGTACAACGACGAACAGCAGCGGACTTTGACCCAGAATCGCAAGCCTACGCAGGAGGCTGCTGCTTTCGCCACTCGCGGGGACGTCGACCGGGCTTCTTCGGGCAATCGGCCTCCTCGTGATCGCGGGTCTGGCGATCGTGATCAGGGTACTGGGGAGCGACCTAAACTCCAGTGCACACACTGTCTTAAGACTGGACACCTCAAAGAATCGTGTTACGAGCTAATCGGCTATCCGCCACGTGATCGGGACAAGAAGTCCGAGCGATCAGACCGCTCAGACCGTCGGCGGAATCGGGATTCAGGCCGCGATGGTGGCTCCTCTCGCTCCCAGCGGGGTGATCCAAGGGCATCCTTGGCTGAAGCAGACACACATGCGAGCCCTGTTCCTGGTTTTTCGATACAGCAGCTTGAGCTTTTGAAGCAATATTTTGGCGGACAGGTATCCCATGGTGTTGATCCTTCTAGTCACATGGCGGGTACGTATGCTGTCCTTAATCGACCTGAATGGTTGCTTGATTCAGGCTGTAACGCTCATATTACTATGGATGAGTCTCTTTTATTTTCTCATGATCCGAATGTTCCTAGTCAACCCGTCCGTATCCCGAATGGGGCTAGTATTCCGGTACGGCGTGTGGGATCGGTTCGGTTGGAAGATGGGATGGTTCTTAATCGGGTTTTATATGTACCGGAATTTCGGTGCAATTTGTTATCGGTGAGCAGGTTATGTCAAGAGCATCAGGTTGCGTTAATATTTCTTGGTGATTTTTGTATCATACAGGACTTACACTCCAGGAACGTGATTGGGAAGGGGGAGATCCGTGATGGACTCTATTATCTTCGCTTGTTTGGATGTCAGCAGGTCAAGGCGCACGCGGCTGCCAAGGATGTGACCGCACCTCTCGCTCCTTGGCATGCCCGTTTGGGTCATCCCTCGACGTCGGTTATGCATAAACTTCAGCATGTTATTCCTGGTTTTCATTCCTTGAGTAATGATCTTTGTCATTCCTGTTCTCGGGCTAAACAAGTTCGGACATCTTTTCCCGTTAGTGGGATTCGTACTTCTTCTTGTTTTGAAATGTTGCATTTGGATATTTGGGGTGGTTACAGCACACCATCACTCAGTGGGGCACACTATTTTTTGACTATTGTTGACGATTTCAGCAGAGGAGTTTGGATATATCTTCTTCGTTTTAAATCTGAAGTTGGTCGATACCTGCGGTTGTTCTGTAATCTTGTTAGCACCCAGTTTGGTAAACAGGTCAAATGCATCCAGGCAGACAATGGTCCGGAATTCAATACCATTGACTTACGTGAGTTTTATGAGCAGGCAGGTATACAGCTTCAAACATCCTGTACGGACACGCCTCAACAGAATGGCGTTGTGGAACGCAAGCACCGTCACATTCTTGAGACGGCTAGAGCGCTGCGGTTTCAGGCCTCACTGCCTATTCGATTTTGGGGTGAGTGTGTACTCACTGCAGCCTACTTAATCAATCGTCTGCCAACTACTGCTACAGGTCGGACTCCTTATGAAGTTATTTTTGGCAAGCCGGCCAGTTATTCTCACTTACGAGTCTTCGGCTGCCTCGTCTACTGTAAGGATACACACGGCCACCTTGGTAAGTTTGATGAGCGTGGTCGTGCTTGTCTTTTCCTTGGCTATGCTGCCAGTCAAAAGGGTTACCGAGCCTATGATATGGCCGCTCGGCGCATCATTACTAGTCGGGACGTCGTTTTCCATGAGGACGTTTTCCCATTTCAGTCTGATACAGCTTCACAATTCCACTGGATTCCCCGGGACGTTTTTTCCCACCCCACCGAAGCCCCTGATGATGAGCTTCTTCGACCTATTGGAGACCCATCTGGCTCTCCCAAATCAGCCGAAGCTGAGCCCTCTGAGGCCCAGGCGCAGCAGCCTTCTCGGCCGGCCACATCTGTTCAGCCCGCTTCCTCCAGGCCCGGCCCATCTGCCGCGTCTCCTGCCCCTTCCAGCCCTGAGTTTTCCAGCCCAGCCGAGAGCTCCGCCTCTCCGTCCTCCAGTCCTGCCTCACCAACCCAGCAGAGGCCCGGCCTCAAACCCTCGGCCCAGCAGCGGCCCGGCCTCACCCCCTCGGCCCAGACGCGGCCTCCTGTCCCGCGTCCTGCAGATACGGCCCAGTCTCGGCCTGCTGAGGAGCTGTCCGCAGGCCATCGGCCCTCTCCTGTTCAGGCCGCAGCACCTTCCTTGCGGCGAAGTGATCGTCAACGCCTCCCTCCCAAGAAGCTTGACATTTATTACACAGGGAATGACACACACCATGCTCAATATCCTTTGTCCGATCACTTAAGTTATGATAATTTTTCAGCTAACTATTGTGCCTTTCTTGCAGCGGTTGCCCATAATCCTGAACCTCGGACCTTTCATGAGGCGGTCAAGGACGAACGCTGGCGCAAGGCCATGATAGCTGAAGTTCACGCTCTTGAGCAGAATGGAACTTGGAGCCTTGTGGTTTTACCTCCCGGTAAACGTGTCATTGGGTCGAAATGGGTGTACAAGGTGAAATTTCTACCCGATGGTACAATTGAGCGCTTTAAAGCGCGCCTCGTGGCCAAAGGCTACACCCAGGTTGAGGGTGTGGATTTCCACGACACTTTTGCTCCGGTTGCCAAGCTTGTTACTGTTCGTTGCCTGCTTGCTATTGCTGTCAGTAAGGGGTGGCATATTCATCAGTTGGATGTCAACAACGCCTTCCTCCATGGTGATCTGGAAGAGGAGGTCTATATGCGTATTCCCCAAGGTTTCGCTGCGCCTGGGGATACTCGAGTCTGCAAACTTCATAAGTCCATTTATGGTCTTCGTCAGGCTTCGCGACAGTGGTATCATAAGTTCACAGCCGCCCTATGCGAGTTGGGTTTTCGGCCCTCCCCTGCGGATCACTCTCTGTTTATCTTTCGCCGGGGGAGCATTCATGTCACTGCTCTCATTTATGTTGATGATGTTGTCCTTGCCGGCACCAGTCTTGAGTTTATTTCTCATGTTAAGGCTTTTCTTCACTCCCGGTTCAGCATCAAAGACCTGGGAAATTTGCGCTACTTCCTTGGACTTGAGGCAGCGCGCACTTCAGATGGAATGGTCCTTAGTCAGCGCAAGTATCTCTTGGACATCCTACATGATTCGGGTGTTTTGGGATGCCGTCCTAGTGCATTCCCAGTGGAACAGAACCATCAGCTCACCCGCCCAGCGCCGGCTGATCATCCTGATCCTGCTGCCTATCGTCGGTTAGTAGGCCGCTTGTTATATTTGACAGTTACTCGACCCGACATTACTTATGGGGTCAACATTCTTAGTCAGTTTGTCCACGCTCCTACTCGAGCTCACATGGAGGCTGCTCAGAGGATACTTCGCTACCTCAAGGAGGCTCCGGGACAAGGTATTTTCTTTCCTGCGACAAGCTCGCTCGATTTGGTTGCCTATTGTGATGCCGACTGGGGTGGTTGTCAATCCACCCGCCGTTCCACTACTGGGTATGTGATCACTCTGGGTGGTGCTCCTGTCTCCTGGCGCACTAAGAAACAACAAGTTGTCGCTCGTTCTTCTGCTGAAGCTGAGTATAGAGCTATGGCGAGCACAGTCAGTGAAGTTCTCTGGTTACGTTGGCTCTTGAGTGAGCTTGGCGTTCCACAGTCTGGCGCTACTCCGCTTCATTGTGATAATCAGGCTGCTCTTCACATTGCGGCCAACCCTGTGTTTCATGAACGTACTAAACATGTTGAGATGGACTGTCACTTCGTTCGGGAAAGAGTCCAGTCAGGAGACATTGCCCCTTTGAAAATCCGCACTGATCACCAGCTTGCTGATATGTTCACTAAGGGTCTCGGCGCGGAGCGTTTTCATTTTCTGTTGTCCAAGCTGCACGTTCGTGATCTTCACGCCACAGCTTGCGGGGGAGTATTGGACATGGCCCAGTCTCGTGACAAGCCCAGCCGAGACATCTCCCATAAACTTGGAGCTGCGGCCCATTCATGTTGTTTAGTTGATTGCCCTTGTACTGTTACCCTAGAAACTTGTAGAAAAGGGTATAAAGCTGAATGTATGGCCATCGGCCAAACCTAAGAAAAACTAATAAGAATTCAGCTTGGAGAGCACCTGCTCTCCCGTGGACTAGTCCCGTCAATCGGGGATACCACGTAATCATCGTGTCGTCTTTATCGCTTTCTCCGAATTTATCATGGTATCAGAACTGGTTGTCCGTGAGGTCACGTGTTCAAGTCCTCACGGCCCCCAATATTAATCGTTGTCTTTCAAGCACATGGTATGGCGGGCCTGTGCAAACTTCAAGCCCATGAGTCGGCTTTCGTTTGAGGGGGCGTGTAAGGAAGTGGTTAAGCACCATACACGGGCCTGTATAAAATCCAGCATAACCTTCTCCCAACAACTCGAGTTATTGGGACCAACTGGTTTATGACAATTTAAACACATTATGATAAGAATTAAAAAATAATAATAAGGTAGGCTTGGGAAGGAGGGATGTTCAGTGTGCTCTCTCCACTGTTCCTGGCTGCTGCGCGAATTCAATTCAACAGCCCTCGTAAACCAGAAACGAAATTCAAACCCCAAATTGAAGCCAGCTAGCAAAAAAAGCAGAGCAATTGACAACTCTTGAAAAGACAAGTGAAGAAAGCCTGACAGTAGCCTAGAAAGGGAGGCAGAACAGCAGCAGCCCATTAATTAATAACACAAACAAAGAAAGCGCGCCCAAGCAAATCTTTTTTCCACAAAGATCCTCCTTTCTTCCTTCCTCATTTTCCACAAGGAAAGGAGGTCGACGACGCGATCGTGACAATTCGACGCTGAACAGTATCCTCCTTTCTTCCTCATATACATATTTTTTTTTTTTTTTAAGGAAGAAGTAATTTTGGCGAATTAAACTGCAAAAAGAAATCGAACGAGCATTGTCGCAATACCTGGAGGAAAGGGTGGGTGTGGTGCTCAGCAGGGAGGCAGTGAGGGCAGATGGCATGGCAGCAGAGCAAGCAGAATGCGTTCTTCTCATTCTTCCTCCGCTCCTCATGGACCACGCAGCTCCCGAAAAACCTCTCCCCCATCAGCCCCGACAGCCATGCAGGCACCTCCTGCTGCTTCTTCTTCTTCGTCGACATCTTACTCCTCCTCCGCGTCGTCACCACCGCCGCCGCCGCCGCTGACGACGATGAACTATAACAATTGTTGCTGTAGTAATTACTAAACCTGTCCTCTTTCCCCATCTCCCTCCGTGGAATTCAGATCGGAAATGACCAGATTTTCCCCCCCTTCTTTGGGCTCTTCGAACAAGCCGCTCTTGCTTGTTAATATTTTTTGATTTTTCTTGAAACGGCCAAAATCAGAGAATTGAGAGAGGAAATGGTAGCAAGAAAGGAGGCTGCGTACTGGCTGGCTCTGAGAGAAAGAGAAACCCTACTAGTACTACACTACAAAGCTCTCTGTAGGCTAAGCAAATTGCTTCGCGGCCACCCAAGATTTTTGGGGTTTTATATATACACACACATTCTGCCGCGTCTACAAGTTTTTTTTTTTTATTCTCCTTGATAAGAAAAATAAAAATTGAATTCAGGTTGTTTCCCGAATTATTTGTCGTGGACGGGGACAGGTAAAGACAAAGGCAAAGAGCGAAGAAGAAGAAGAAGAAGGAGGCAATTAATTGTAATGAAAAAAAAAAAAACAGATATTACATTACATAAGAGGATAATAACTAATAAGAGAGAGAAAGTGTGTGTGTGCTGGGCTGGCTAGGTGTACCTTTTACGCGGGATGAATGAATGAATTCGAGTTTTTCTTTCGTACCTTACCCTCTGAATTGAGACGATGACAAAGATTATCAATAGTTGTAGTCTACTCCAGCACCCATTGTTATGGGTGGCAATTTCGGTTTAACTCGTCCTACTTCTATTTGATTTCTCAAATTTATGCTGAGCGAACGATATTCATCTGGTAGCGAGGGCAGACAGTGATATACTTCTTTGACTTGATATATCACATTCTACATTTATTTTGTCTAAATTATATGTAATTTTACTTAAATTCTATATAATTTCACTTATATTTTATCATATTTTAGCTATAATAAAACAATCAATATTTCAAAAAAAAAAATTTACATAAAATTACATACACATATATCAATTTGTCCCGACCTCCCTGTTGTTTGACTTCTTCAGAAGGCTCTATTCTCTTAGATGTGTGATACTTGCACACCAGCCTCTAAGAACAACGTATATATCGAAACGATACATGGTGGTATTGCATCTGGAGTCAATATCCTACATGTCTCTCTATTCAATTTCGAACTATGGTTTGGCCGTTTGGTTACTTTTACAAAGCAGTTTCTAGTTGTAATTTTTTAAACAAGTGTTTAAATAAACGGTTAAATGTTTGACTGATAAGCTATGTTAACTATGGGTAGTAATTTTGTTCGTAACTTCAACAATGTTAAACTATGTTTCAGATATTCATGGTTATCCATGTATAGCAATTGTTACATGCTCCTAGACCCAAAAAGAGATGGATTTGGACATCAAATGCTCACTTTGGCCTAGATAAGCAGATTTGGTAGTGAGCAGGCTTACCATTGACGAAGGTCAAAGTGGGTCATAACCCATCAAGTCGCACCCAAATTCGGAGGAGAGGTTATTTGGCCCACAAGCAACCTAGCCCACGAAAAAAATCTACGGTGGCCCCGACCGCCGTTGGACCTCCGCTAGACCCAAGCCCAAGAAAGATTCTAAAAGATGCTTACTTAGGCCCCATGTTGAGAAATCCGTGTGCCACTCATTCGGGGATGCTTTTGGGCTTTGGCCAAATTTTAGGAGGAACCCTATACAACCCCTTTCATGATGTTCTATAAATAGGAGGTTAAACTCTAACTTTACAAAGAAGATATATACATTCACTTTGCCCTAGAGAGCACAAGTTAGCAATCCATAGGAGGAGGCTAAGTTCTACTAGAGTTCAGAGAGGATGCCTTCATCACCTATGGTGATGTCTTCCTTGTCTCTTATGGCGTGCTAGTTCGCCAATATGTAGGGATGTGCATTGTTTTACACTTTATGCATGTATGTTCTATGATTTAATGAGATGTTATTGTCATTAGAACCCTTTTCATTTGATGCTTTGTATCATCTTATGCTTTAGTACATTATCTAATGCTTTCATCATCTTATACTTTGATCATGTGTTGTATGCTACTATGGTCATTGTTTATATTATTATCATATAAGTTTCTTGGAAAACCAACTTACGTGGTAAGCAACTCTTTTAGGCGTGTATGGAGGAAATGTACACTCCTTTATGCATGAATGAGATACATGTTTGATAAACTAGATCATCGATGAGTCTCATAGAGTCCTTAAACAACAATGAGCTATCCTTAATTGATAAGTATAGTGGCATGAAACAACACGTAATAGCTATTCCTAATTCATATTGCATGTGGTAAAAGCTTGAGTAGGATGGCGTTAGTTGAAGGGATAGTGCATCACAATAGGTCGATGCATAGGTGCATCCTATTAATGAGAATGTATGCATGTTCGTCTAGATGACGCAACCTAAACAATGTGTTTTATCTTTCTTTTCTTGCTTTATAATTTCAAGTCTAGTCTAGATAGTATAGAGTCAACCATCTACCAGGAAACCTTAACCCATCATATTTATTTTCCTTAAATTACTATTCGAACATAGGTTGCTACCTTTGAGTAGTTAGTATCAAAAGACTATGTGGAATACGACTTAGACATACCTAGGATTGTTATTACTCGATTGCATCAATACTATATATTTCATATAAAGTTTTTGGGGACTTTTGATAGTATTTTGAAAAAGCTACTCATCTTATATTTGATTTTACTTCAAGATATTACGCTCTAGTTGGTTTTATTTTGCAGATCTCGAACTCACAAGGGAGAGGGGCATTGCAGAAGCTACAAGAAGGAGATACTATAAGAACTTGGAACTCGATTCATCGATCATTACACAAAGAGATATGGGTTTCCTATCTCTATTCGAGTACTTTAACCCAAAGGCATTAAATGTCGAAACAAACAACCTCCATCCAACATCAAGTGTCAAGACAAGTCCACCACTTGACATAAGAATGTATGCAATAGTGAAGTATCAATTCTCCTGGGCAAATGAAGATGATATTGGTGAGATGAAGCAAGTTATTGATACTAGTGATGACAAGAGCTAGGAGTAAGAATCTACCATGGAGTATGAAGCCATCTTGGACAAGAGCTAATCAATGATCCATCTAGAACCTCCTAAAGGCATCAAGGCTAGCATCGATGACGAAGGACTTAAGCAATTGCTAGAAGGTGTTCAAAACAATAAGGATTGTCAAGAAGCTGATGAAGGGCGTCTTAATGAGATGCATGAAGGATTTGGAGAAATCATAGACCATGGAGATCTCGTAGATGATAGAGAAGAAGACCATCTCCATATCACCCCATTTGACGAGGAAGAAGAAGAGCTTACAACTAAATCTTCAGAAGGAAAAAAAAGGTGCAAATGATGAAGAAGGTTGCAATCCTGAAGAATGTACACTAATCCAAACTTGTTTTTTGAATTCGTGGGAAGGGATTAAAGGAATCACACCACTTGAAGGCTTTCATCACTTCACTTCCTCTATGTCATCCTCTACATCTACAATGATGGAAGAAGAGCCCATGAGTAGGAATCCCATCAACGCTAGACAATGATGCTGTACATAAATTCGTAAATGAACCAAGCATTGGAATTGAAGGATTTCTTCATAACCCTGCTACATTCCCTTCTTAAAGTTTAATGAAGAAGTTTGGAGATTCTAACTTTGAACAAGAGGATGTGAGGGTGTAGATTGATGAATTCAACAATTCCAAGGAAGCTCTTCGTGGAGAAATGGAGGATGCCCTACCAAAAGTTAAAAACCATGAAAAAAATTGCAAAATCTTGGTGGAGATACATCATAGAGTCCGTCCAGATTTCTTTCGACTCCTTGAAGTGGATCCATTTGCAACATTTCTAGAGATACATAAGATCGTAGCTTCTTATCTACCCAATAAAGTGGAATATACAAGCTCTTCCTTGAATCATTATCTCTACAACAATGATAATGCCAAATCAAAGTGTGGGTTAAAAGGTGTAAGGAGTAGACTAAGATGGCATCTTCTTCATTGCCTATCACCAAACCGAAGCGAAAGAAGGATGAGATTCAGTTGGAATGTGCACGTTTGACAATGGATTTCAAAGAACCCCTTAGTTGGGAATCTTGATGAGCTTGAATTTGCCTAGATCAATGGTGTAAAAGAAAAAGCACTTCATGGGAGGAAACCCATGTCTGGCATCCAACTTAAGGATGTAAGAGGAAAGTGTTACTAATAAAAAAAATTCAAATTTCTAAACCATCATCATTTGCATAACAAGCTTTTCTCTTTAGAAATCCTCTTGATATGAAGGTCATTACCTACTACTCTTAGATATGAGATTTTTTCTTTCGGTTATCTTTCGATTATTAATACGATATACAAGGACCATCACTACAAATGGCACTGCATTCTTGATTGTTTGTTAAACCCGTGAATAGGATATAGGAACTATTGATTTCATTTTGAATCGATATTTCATATTTCTACTTTTGTCAAAAAGAATTCAAATGCATAAAGGTGGGGTAGACCCAATGCCTGAATTAATTTTTAGACCCAATGCCTTAATTAATATTTAAAGAGATTCCTTTGTATAAATAATTGTGAAAAGAATCAATGATTGTTTTTTTATTTTTAGTTTCATATTTATATTGAAGAGGAGCAATAGCTCCCCCTAAGTTTTGTTGCTTTTACAGTTTTTGTTTTATTTTCAAATCCATGAAAAACTAAAAGAAAGATGAAGAAATGGAGTATGACAACCGAATGGTGTCCATAACTTCTTTATTTGTTGTATCCTACAAGGAAAAGGAGAGAAAATACAAAAAAGAGAAGGAAGAAGCCACAACGGCCCCACGTCGGTCGACAACGTCATGCTTTTTCCAGCTCCAGTCATTTCAAAAGTCTGTTTCTTGCAATCAGAAGGAAAGAAGTCGCAGCGGTCGTATATGTCATGTCATTGTCGATGACCCATTCCCCCACTCGAAGAAAGAGACCATATGATTGAACTTGAACAAGGAAAAGGGTGGTGGTGGGCACCATCACGAGGACGCCGCTCTCCTATTAAAGGGATGCAACCCCTCTTAAAATGGTGAAGTGGTATCGTAGGAAGAATGTGTCAGCTAGATGTGCCCTTAAAAGATATATTATGAAGGCTTTCGACAGTGTTGACCGGGATTTCCTAAAGTATACTTTACTGGCAATGGGGTTCCCTGGTAAATTTGTCACTTGTATCAAAGGGTGTTTGGAGTCGGCTAGCTATACTGTGTGTATGAATGAGGGTTTAGTAGGCAATTTCAGGACAAAGAAGGGTTTAAGACAACGATGTCCCCTGTCTCCATATTTGTTTGTTGTGAGTATGGAGGTCCTCACTTGTATGTTCAATAGGACAACAAATAGATCTATTCTTCCTTACCATCCTCAGTGTGGAAGGATAGGGCTTACCCACTTGTTTTTTGCTTATAACCTATTAATATTCACTAAGGGGTCAGTCGAGGGAG